TGTTGTTGGTGGAGTATTTTCTGGGTAATAAAGGACTGTAGTTGTTGAGTGTATACGTAATCCTTTGAATTGAGCTGAATGCCAGGTCAGGCATTGCAGGGCACATAAATAAAGAACGCTTGAAAATGTACATCGATCCAATTAAGCCTACCCGAAGCGATTTTCTCATTGGTCTTCACAAGAAGTGCAGCACATACAATCTCGATGGAAAACAAAAACCAGCATCAATAAAGTTTAAATACCATCTTGAAAAGTGGAGTATGGCCTACAAGATCACGTGTTTGAAATTGGAACCATTTCCAGCGCACGCCTGGTGGGTAACGACAGCCGGCAGGTCACAGCCTGTGGGCTCGGTTTCGGGGTCACTAACTATTTGACCAACACGCTACGGAGCCATCTTACAATGTACGTCACAAGCTCGGCCACCCGTACCATGACGTCAGCATGGCGCGTTGCACCAGACCCAGGCTTATTACTGACTTCCACTCATTGACACATTGTCCATTCTCTTTTAAGTGCTACGATATGGTGGTTCCATGGACAATGTACACTTTTAGTTATGTTAGTGTGACCAAACTATAATATAGAGCATAAATGTTTGTATGACTAGTGGAATTACTTATGTATACTACATTGACTAGGATAGAAAAGGATTCAGGACAAAGCCATACAATATACTAAAATAGGACACACGCCGAATGTACCAATTAGCCAATATCTGTCTTGATCTTCATCTTTAACATAATATCAAACTATGTATAGCTATGACTTTGACAGTAAAGTTTCTTCTCAGCCCCTGCCAGTAAATTGCTCCTCTGTATTTCATATACATGTACCCAGTTGTTATGAAGGGGAGGGGGGTACCTTTGACTGCAGGGCCTTGAAGAAAAGTTGACACTGTGATTCAAAACAGTTAAACTTTCTCTTACGTCAGAAAATATAGCCACTAAAGTGGTACTGCCTCCCACCTCCGTCATCTTGTCGTCTACTAGCGTTCCTGTTGGCCTCCCAGCTCCCGGGGGGAGGCGCGGACCTGCCCCTTATCCACCGCCCAGGGTCCGCCGGCTCGCGCTGCCCGCACCGAGATAGTCTTGTTATAGGCTATTGAACGCATCTTCAGTCATCGCGGCGTCTGGAAACATTACGGCTGATGATGAGGTCTCCTGGGGACGGGTGAGGGCGTCGTATTGCTCTTAAAGTTGCAGTTAGGTGATGGGAAGCTTGACTGGAATAGCTAGTTCCATTTCCTTATAATCCGATAGCTTTTGACCATACGTCTGGCACCTTACAACACCCCCAAAAGAACAAGAAACAGCCTTGTCAACAGGTTTTAAATCGTAACTCAGAATTTGATGTCTATCTACATTGCGTGCGATAGTAAATTTATATGTCATGACTTCTTTCAATCCAAGGTCAGTATAGTTCCGCCGTGTCATGTCTACATGGATAGTCCAGTGTCTTCATGACTGATAGCTTTACGGGCCTCAGTGACACAGTAGGGGCACGTGATAGAATAGTCCATCAGCCATGCGTGCAGGCCAAGAGTCGCCAGTACCCATTCACTGCAAGTACGGGAGAAATTTGGACTTTATGCGAAATATCTTTATTACTACATACATTATAGGAAAACTAATACCACTAGTACTATACAGACCGAAGTTCGCTCTCTTCATACGTATCACCAGTTTAACCTTTCTGTGTATCCAGCAAATGTTAAAATATGGAGCTTGAAACGTAAAGTTATTGAGACTTATTACATCCAAGGTAACCACGCTTTAGCATGTCTTCAAACGTTAGTCTTAATGTTTTGCACATCTGCAGGTCATGACAGATAATCTGCCACAGGAGAACCACACAGACATTTCTTACTTCGTTCTGTTCACTGTAGAGATCCCAGCTGAAACTACGGGTTTGTTCTGCGGCAGCCGAAACAACAATTGTCGGGATTTCCTGGCGGAGTTGGCAGAACAATTAGCGCCGCTCCACTGCACGGAGTGACCGGGGATTACAGATTGGAGACACGTTGTCCCAATTATTTCTGCGTTTCTCAGGTTAACGTGAATTAATGGGAGGAAATTAAGGCGTGAAGTCGGTTTGTGGAGCCCCGGGGCGGAAAGCGGCAGCAGCACTACCGGCATTTCAGCACCGTGGAGAGAGCCTGGTAGGCGGTCTGAGGGAGGGGCAGCGGGTAGAATTCTTAACAGGATTGTAATGAGGAAGGGAGTGGTGTCAAACGTGAAGCTGCCGGCATTTTACTACTGTGGAGAGGGACTAGCAGGCGGTCTGAGGGAGGGGGCAGGTATAGTTAAGTGGATTGTAAAGTAGCGCAGCAGATGGAACCGTGGTTGCTTGGCATGTGTATGATGTTATGTGCGTGTGAGTTTCACATGTAAGTGCATGTTTGTAGAAATACGTCCACAATAAGCAACAGTTATACATATCCCAGAAATCAAACAGGCTGTGAGAAGTGAAGTGAATCAGTGTTATAACAGTATAACAGAGCTGCAAGTTAAAACAGAGTTGCTAGGGCATACACTTTAAAAGGAGGAGCGTAATAGAAATTTCAAAGGGAGGTTAGGCTTCACCTATCGTAACTATTACTTTAAGATCTCGGTGAAACAGGAGACACATAACTTGGGGCATCGGTCTCGGCGTGACTGGCGACAGGCTGTCTGACACGGGAACGGCAGGCGGATTATATCTAATGAAGCCGATATCAATACAATAACACTGGGTCGCCTAAACAATGTAAGCAATCCCTAATCTAAAATATCTTCAAGGAATGTAAAATGGCTTTCTTCAGAATTGTATCGGAAGAAATAAAACTGCTCATTCAGTGTGTCCGTATAGGATGAGGATGGAAATTGGTTAGGTGTTTATATTTTTATGCAAAACAGTTTTTGTTGCCATTCTATTCACATCTTCTGTGATCTCGGTCGCGGTCACAGACTGAGCTCTCCCGTGCCGTGATGAAATACGTTATTACCGGCCCGGAGTCCGTGTGTCTGGCCGTACAATCCTACAGAAGTACAAACAAACAAACAAACAAACAAACAATTTTGTACAGTTCTCCACACATAACGGCGCTGTTCCCGGCCACAGACTGAGCTCTCCCGTGCCGTGATGAAATACGTTATTACCGGCCCGGAGTCCGTGTGTCTGGCCGTACAACACTACAGAAGTACAAACAAACAAACAAATAAACAAACAAACAATTTTGTACAATTCTCCACACATAACGGCGCTGTTCCCGGCCACAGACTGAGCTCTCCCGTGCCGTGATGAAATACGTTATTACCGGCCCGGAGTCCGTGTGTCTGGCCGTACAAACCTCCATGAGAAGAGATCTTCATCAAGCCCAGTTATCGGCGCGGAGGACTTTGATTCGCCCCGAACTGTCTGCCATGATGTACGGTGTGCGGAGCGGGGGGCGGGCTGATGTGATCCCTCCGATGTTTCAGGCGACAACCGCCTATTAAAACGCCCGGGATGTGTGTCTGAATTAATCTCGCACTTTTCAATTACTGGTATTTATCATCTTTGGATTGGCAAGATTACAACCAGAGGTTAACCTTAACTGTTTGATTTATATCCATGAAAATGGAGTTTGAACTGTTTCAAAAGAAAAGTGTGTCATTAGGCAAGACCAATCGATATCCTGTTTGGCGTTGGGTTTAACATAACGTCCAATACATGTATTTCCTGCAAATCAAATGTGCTACTGTATGTTGTACCATCTAATTTCACATTTCATCTAATTTCAAGAGGCGTTTTGAAGCAAAAATAAGACTTTTGCCAAAGGCTACGAATGTTCATCATTAGATCGGCAGTTATACGATTGTTACATGCGGAAATTCCTTCCTGTGTGTATGTGACTCTTATTACAAAATTGTGATGATCTGCCAAGAGAGTCGCCAGGTAAGACAAGAGAGAAATCCAGGGCAATACAGCACTGGTGGAACCGGTGAACCAGATCATGTCCAGCTGAAGTTACGCTTGGTTCGTTCTTCAACCCAGATATGCTAGCAGTCATCTAGATCACAACTTGACCACGTTTAACAACTCATGACACTTCTTACAAAGAGCAAAGGTGGCACACTCCGCTATGTGATGGCTCAAGACCAATCAGTTCCTCACGCAGCTTGTACTTGCCAGCCCCAGGTACAGAACTGATGTGTTACGCCGTGCGGCGGTGACGCGATTCCGATCGCTTACTCCGCAAGTTCCCGTCCCTCCCATGGAGTACCTGCGGTTCGCGGCGCCAGACAGCTGTTTGTACTTCTCCTGGCAAAAATAAAAACACTACACCTCGTTCATCATAGGCTCTTTCATTTGACACCACCCGTTTCTAGATTAGCTCAATGAGTTATGGTGCAGCTTTTAGAACAACCGTTGTTGCATTTTGCTACAGTTTGATACTCTATTGGTGTATGTACAAACAAGGAGTTTTTAAGGTATCAGAACTATAGATATAGAATACAATGATAATTTCTATTTCTTGTTTTTTTTTTTTCTTACCAAATATAATAACGATAGCTTTGTCTATTAGATTGTAAATTCTCTTCGTTATTACGAATCAAGTTCTTGTTTTCTTCGGCCGATCTTGGCCTTTGCGTACTCTTGCGCATGGCCCTCAATTTGAGTTTGCGTGAAATGTCATCCTTACATCGCAGTTCTGTGGTCAAACTGTGATATCTATCCCCAGCGACAGCAACCAACAGTAGCAAAGTGTTGTATAATGCTGCATCTCAATAGATACACTACTGGTATGTTGAACTGGGGATGCGCTGCAGTATTGTATCAAAAGCGCCGCCTCGCAACGCTGATACAAAGCACAATGAGTTTACGTATGTTCAATCTGTGTGCGCGCCCTGCTGTCACAATTTTGCATCTGGGAAAGTCTCCATTCGTAGCGTCGCCTCTGGTGAAATTTGCTAGAACAAAACGTATGTTTACTTTCTATCATGCCTAATTAGGCACATTCATTAAAAACCAATGGCGGGGAATGGCGGTGCCAAAAACGTCCAGGTCATCACCACACCGACAAGATTAGAATTTACCTGAATTTCGGCGGGCTCAAACATAACGTTAATATCCCGGCGAGGAGACCCGCAATGTAAAGGTGAGACTGTCAACAATTGTAGTTCACCGGAATCGGTTGTATGTAACGTGACCTTCGGCGGACAGTCAAGTGTTCGGTTTCGTACCGTTTTCCTTTCTACTTCTGAACCACGTGCACGGAAATCTCCCCGTAATTTAGTAGGTAATGAACCAACTATGTAACTTTACCTTTAAACGTACTGCCATTGGAGTCAACATGTCCTAATGGTGATACAATGTTTCTCTCTTTGCAACTTAGGGAATGGAGGTGCTGAACCTCCACACCCCAGGGCATCACTACACCGAGAAGAATTTGAGGACTCAAACCCAACGTTGATTTTACGACGAGTAGACCCGCAGTATAAAGGTGAGTCGGATAAGTAACTGTTACCATTAAATGTCTTTGGTTTCGGAGCGTTTTGCTTTCTACTTCTGAACCACGTGCACGGAAAATTCCACGAAATATGTAACCGTTAGTCGTTCTATGACCTAATACATTCTCTCTCCTTGCAACATAGGACTACACGTGAAGACATCCTAACTAGAAAAGACCATCCTCCCACGCCAGGGGTGCTTCCTTACCATTTGCCGCGGGATAGCTCTGCCGTGGGAGAATGGAAAAGACACGCAAAGAGAAGGACGGTCTGTGCCAGAAATATGACAAGGTAAAGGTAATTGTACTGTTAATGACAAGTATCTGCTCAGCAGTAGCTGTAGCCTGTGACGGTAGAATTCATTACGGAAAATTGTTTGTAATTGACGATTCCACTATTAAAACCCCTAGGCATAAGGCATCGTTGATTGCGTGCCTATTTAGTGTTTTAATCACAAGCAGAATGTTCAACTGAATCTGTCTTGTTCTAATTATTGGTAATTTGACATTCATGTTGGATTTAGGATGCAAGAAGCAGGGAAGGAGACATGTGTCAGCTGCAGCATCTTCCAGGACCTTCAACTACACTCATGGGAAAAGGCTTTGAGGGATGAAAAAAAGGTTAATGATTTGTGATGTGCATTAAGTAGCTTTTGGTACCAAACTTAGAATTCCCTCTGTGTATCTGAGACATTTTCGACAGGGATAATCAAGTTTCTTGGTTGTTGGCAAGGTGTTTGAGTTTGCTTTGGTGACATCCTGAGTGACATTGCTGGTTGGGGGTTGGGGCATTTTGAGGGTTTTGGCTCCTTTTGCACGCATGGCTTTAGTCTGTTTCTGTGGGATACAGGTCCGATGTATGGTTGATTTGGTTTCTGTGACCATGTTGGTGGCTGGGATTGTGTTTGGAGTTGCTGCAAAGTGCAGTCCTCTAGAAAACGGAGACTTCCCTAAGTTCTGTTAGCCCATGATTATTTAGGTATCTTGTACTGCCTGACTTTCTTTCTGCATTATGTGATTGTCAGTGGGTCGGGAACCCTGACCATTACATGAGCTGCCTTGTGAATGAAATAATGGGGCGGTGGTGGGGGGGTGGATCATCAGGTTCTGGGGTATCCGTTAGTCTTGAGATCCCGAACAAAGACTACGGCACAGGGCCAGAAGGGAGGACAGGTAGAGAAGTGCGTAAGTGATCATGAGCTAACAGAACTGGGGAAGTCACTGTTTTCTGGAGGACTAAACTTTGTAGTTACCTCTGAGCGCAATTCCAGTCATCAGCGTGGGTACAGAAGCTGATCAGGCCAAGCATTGGACCTGGTTGCCACAGGAACGGGTTGAAGCACTGTGTGCAGAAGTAACCATTGCTCTCAAGTGTCCTAATCCCTTGCCAGTGCCATCACAAGGGCTGTTGCCAACATTCTCGATGCCTTGCTGACAACCAAGTGATTGTGATTCTCCCTGCTGGTGATGCCTCGTGTAGACAGAGGGGATTGTTACCTAAGCTTGGACTGAAGTTGCATCACAGATCAGTAACGTCCTGCCATCGCCACACCAGCAGCATTTCTCTGGATAAAAAGTCTGTAAATGAAGTTCTTGTTAAAGCTCTTCAAAGAATGCAATGTATCATTTTACAATCACTATGTATGATAGACAAGTGTTGCTCAGGTTGTATGTTCATGTTATATGTTCATGTTATCAAGTCTTTTGCCATATTCCTGGGTGAAGCTAAATTTGTTATGGTGGTAGGGCCATGTAGTTTTATAGAAATGTTATAGTTGCCTGCTATTTAGCTACATATACACACAAATTGAATTTCCCTTTGAATACTAGTAGCCAAGATTTCTGAAATTGTAAACATTATTTTCTTAGGATTTCCTGAACTTGTAAATGTTCTTTTTTTTAGGATTATATTGTTGTTGTCTAGTTTTAATATAAGCTTTTAAGATAAGTGCAGTTTATGCAAAAAAACTTGCTCAAGCAACTGGATATGATTTTGGAAATGGTCAGATGTTTCAGGTAGCATGCACTTGCACTACTTTAGTCAGTAGAGACTGCAGGAGAAATGCAGATTTATCATATCCAGTTGCTTGTGTTGCTTGTTTTTTGACGTAACTTATTACCCGGATGTCTAACCTTCACCAACCTAAGCACAGTTTAGTTTAAAAATAGTTGTAGTGTAGTTGTAGTGTTGGGAATAGTTGTAGCCTAGTGTTAAGGTTAGTTGTAGCCTAGTCTTAAGGTTAGTTGTAGTCTAGTCTTAAGGTTAGTTGTAGCCTAGTGTTAAGGTTAGTTGTAGCCTAGTCTTAAGGTTAGTTGTAGCCTAGTCTTAAGGTCAGTTGTAGCCTAGTCTTAAGGTTAGTTGTAGCCTAGTGTTAAGGTTAGTTGTAGCCTAGTCTTAAGGTTAGTTGTAGCCTAGTCTTAAGGTTAGTTGTAGCCTAGTGGTAAGGTTAGTTGTAGCCTAGTCTTAAGGTTAGTTGTAGTCTAGTCTTAAGGTTAGTTGTATCCTAGTGTTAAGGTTAGTTGTAGTCTAAAGTGAAAGCCCTTTGTTCCCACTTAGCCTTTATTTTTAGTGTATTTTGCCTCTATTCTAGTACAAGTAGTGGCCACCTTGTCCTAGAATGGATCCAAAATATATGAAAACATGGGCTTGGAGAGCAAAGGTCTTTTCATAAAGTAGGCTGTAGGGTTAGGTTTAAGGTCTAGGGCATTGTAGTGAGTTTTTGAAACTTAGCTTTCAAAATGTCAGACTCAACCTGAGCAACACACTGTACACTTAATAAACAGTCATGTGGTCTCTTTCTTAAGTTTTTTTTTTTAAAGGATAAAATAAAATAAGTGTTATTGAAGTCCCGTCCTTGGTCCCATGTAGTATTGGTCCCATGTAGTATTCATGTCCCCATGTAGTGCTCACCACCACCCACCCCCATACAGTGGTTCCTGAAACACCGATTAATTTATGTCGGTATTCAGTTTTCAAATAAACCCAGTGTATACGTAGGTCTTTTCTGTCACTGACCTCATTAAAGCACCACCTAATGAAGAGTGAAGGTACTTCAACCAAGTAGGTACATGCGGACAAGTTGACTTACATTATAATATTCCATACGTGACAATGGCAGTACGCAGGAAAAGTGGTACAATGAAAATTCCCTCTAATCACTCCTATGGCGTCTCCAAAATACTGCTTTACTTCTTTTTTTATTCTGTAGGTAAACCGATAATGTTTCTTTCCTGTAAATGATTGTTTACCAGACTGTAACAAGATAGATCTGGTGTGAGCATGTAGAAGCATGTACAAAAAAAGTAAACATCTATTGGAGCAGAAATATACTGTGCACTACTAGTGATATATGTAGAAGTAGAGTGCTGACAGCTTGTATGAGTGATTTCGTTAAGAAACTCTTAGAATAGACAGTTTACCTTACTATCAACATGTATTCATAAATAGAAGCTATATATATATGTAGAGAGAGAGGGAAGGGAACACCATGTTTGGTTTCACTTCCACATTTTCCCAACTACATGTTAACACATTTTCCCAACTACATGTTAACACATTACATAATTTATAGTAAACAATCGGAATTTGAAGTAAACAATCGGAATTTGACAATGGTCAATCTTAAAGCAGATATGTAGAGTTTCCGCTTTATAATACGTTCTCTCCGATTTCGTGTGCTGTTATACTGAACGCCTTTCCACGTAGAAAACCATTAAAGTCGTTCAAAACGAGGTATACGAAAATGAGCCCAAACCACACATCTGCTTGAACAGCTCGCGATGAAAGCCGTAGGTAACCCGTGAACTTTGACCGTGCACGCGCCGCCCGTGTTGGCCTAATATCAAAGGTGCTCCGGTACAATGCGCTTGTTCCCGTTATTGATCGGCTCGGCCAGACGGAACGTTAAACATTTACTCACATTAACGTTCTCTCAGCACGTCAGTACCACGGCGACAAGGATATCCATATTCAGGTTGGTATGACGGCTTTTATAAAATTGTGAGCTGCTCTCCGTTTTTGAGATGATAGATTGCAGATTGTGTCGTTTTTCTGTCGCAAACACCAAATTAAAGCTATATGTACAGTTTGTATCGTAATGGGGTATAGGAAAGGGGCGTGAGATGCATGTTCCTATACGTATAATTGCTCGAGATTGGATTGTTGTAACAACCGGAGATTTCTTAGCTTTATACTGTAAAATATTCTATCCTGTTTATTGTAAACCAGAAGGCCAATTTTGAGCCATGTCTTGGTGTACTTAACACAATGTGTTCAACAGGTACACTGACGATGATGGTTAAAATCGTGATTCGCTGCACGTTTTATCTGTCAGTGTATACTACCCCCACTGACAATAAGCAGCTTTGTAAGTGTAGGCAGCATTGTATAGACTGCAGCAGTGAAAGGTATAACTGCTGTACAGCGGATAATGGTCGGCAATTTGCGGCTGATGGAGGAACGTCAATGGCGGTCTGCGGTCGAGTTCACGTGTTGTGCTAGATGACGTCATTATTTACCAAAGGCCGCGTTACGTAGATTTGTTTAGGAAAGAGAGGGTCACGGGGGGATTTTTGTAAAATCAAGTCTGAGTCTAGAATAAAACTAAAATACATTTGTATCACAAGTAGTTTAAATATGTTTAAATATGTTAAGAATGCATATACGAAGTGACATCTTCGGGTAACCGGTACAATCGTGCGCTCGCTCTATTAATGGATCTATTTACAAAGACAGGGCCTAAATACCCTGCCAATCTACAACTTTCCTCAAATTTGGATAGTAGTCAATTGGAAATTCCATCAGCAGTGGAGAGAAAAACTATTAGATTCACGTTTAGTTCCTTTTATATAGATGGATGCTCTACAGGAAATGGGAAGTGCTTATCATCTCCGCACCAAAATGAGCACTAATCATGTAACAGTAATAAATATATATGAGGCACTTTTTTGTGTGATTACCTATCCGTGTCTTTTTTAGTACAGCGTTTGATATTTTTTCTCAGAAAACTCCGTGAAGATGCAGCGGTCCCAGTCCCTCCCCCACCTACAAACCCTGCAGCCTCGCTTTTCCTCCACACCGAAAGGGGACAAGCTGGTCTACTCGGGAGACCTCGCCTGTCTGTCGTTCGTGGACGGGGAGGAGTCGGTAGGCCTGAACCACTTCACCTTCTTCGATGACGAAATGAGAGAGACTATCCAAAATAAAGAGCAGCAGGTGATATACAACGTTGTACCCCGCCATGCGGATGAGAGTGAAACTGCAGATGCAGGTGATGACGCGGATTTCGTGGACGTGGACACGACTTCGTCCTCAGAGTCAGACGTGACACATATTCATGAATATTTGCAGGACGTTTGGTTCCGAGCTCACAAGGACGTTCAAGTCGGTAATCTTTGTACAGCAGCGCTGGGTATCGTTGCGAGAACGCCCGAAGTCGGACTGCATTACGTTTGCGCTCCGGTGGTGTCGCGCAGGCATTACCAATACATACCGCTAGAGGGCGTGCCCAAGGTTTACCGTCGGGACGAAGACGACCATGAAGTGCCCGTGGTTCTGTGCGAGAAACGTGAGAAAACAGAGCCAAGTCTCCTCTGTCAGCCGACAACAAGCCTTCCTCTTGACTGCAGAGAAGTTGCCTTTTCAAGCTCCACTTTTACCAGCGATAAGCCTTCCGAGTTCCTGTTTGTTTCTAGAGACGAAGCGCTGAGACCGCGGCTCAGAACTTTCTCCCCGGCCGCCCTGAGCGACTGCGACAAGCAAGGCGCCTATTCCGAGAGGGGAACGTCTTTTTACGCCAACAAGTTGCTCCTGTCCTCGTTCATCTCCGACTTGCCGAACGTCCGCGGGAGCTCGGTGATCAACAAGCTGAAGAAGACGGCGGCAGAAGTGAACACGTTCTCCCTGGAGGCCTGTAGCCAGGAGCTGCTCCATCCCGAGCAGTGGCTGATCGAGACGCTGAAGCACAACTCCGACCTTCCCGCCGAGTTACTCAGGACCAACCTCGGCCAGCAGAGGAACCCTTCGGTATTTCACCCTCTACTGCTCATAGTTTTGTGTTAGGTATTGTTTGAACCGGAAAATAAATGATAAGTAAGATACTGATTTGTTATGTTTTCACTATGTATAGATTTTTGAATCCTAAAAAGGCGTCTATTGTTGCGTTTACGTCGCGTTCACATCGTAGGCCGTCGTGCGATTTTCACAGGGTTTCGAAGCAGGCTATGACATATAGCCGCGGCAACTGTTGACAGAACCCACTGCTGACAAGGATCATAGACAGCCTTTTAAGCAACTAGTACGGCATATGCAAACGTGCGATCGTATAAGTGTGACCGTGCCCTTCACCCTCCAGGTGACGGTGTACGCCGTGGTGCTGGAGATCCACTCCGCCCGGAAGCCGTGTGCGGACTGTGTGGACCACTTCCGGTTCCTCTGCACCGACGACTCTGCCAACAACGTGGTGAGGGAACAGTTCACGCAGGCGCTGCGGAGGTACAGGTGTGTGCGCCGGGATTTCTTGAATAAAGTTCCCCGCAATAGATTAAAGAACAATTACAGGGTTCGAGAAGGAAAAGATGCGTGAATGGGATACACAATTGAGCCCGGTTTAGGTTGGATTCATTTTGTCCCATAATGCTATACATCTACGCCCCCTCTTTGTTTTATGGTTATCGTTGAACACATGGACTACAGTTACCAGTTCAAGATGACAAGTCTACACCTCCCTAACCCAACCCAAGTACATGGGTGATTGCTATATAATTAAGCCCATTTAGCACTCAAATATAATATGGTCTGCGAAAACCGTCTCATCTGCAGTAATGTCAAATGAGTCTCCTGTTGCCATGGTCACACCCCAGGTTCGCTGTCCGTGATGACAGAGTGCCCATCTATGTCCGGGTGTCCTACACACTCAACCGGTTTGGGACAGAGATCGCCCGCCAGTACCCGTACCAGACTCGTTCCCTGGACCTGCGCGGCCTGCGGGAGGGAGCCATCCTGGCCCACCACTTCGTCAGCGCCAAACAGCTGACACACTGTCCGTTTAGGGACTGCAGGTGGGTGGGTCTTTAATAACTACTGTTGGTTACTCTCTTGTGAATAATACGAATACTACATAAAATAAATTGCTCAATAAGTCTGATATCACACACTTCTCCAACTTTGGTCTGCTCCTTAGCGGTCGACGTTCTTTACAAAATTACTGTTCGCTTTGATATAGTGTAAGTATCAACTTATTTTCTAGAGATGCTATTGGAAAAAACGCGATGAAACGTATGTTCTTCAAGCAAGACGACAACTTATGCTACCGTTTCCCTTTCTTTACAGACATGAGTTTGACAGCAGGTTTTATGTAAAAGTGGAGCAGATCGTCAAGTCACTCATCCTTCCGGAGAACTACCATGACGGAGACGAGGAGGTACAGTGTAATTTATCTGCTCTTATGTGGAGGATTGCCGCGATGTATGATTACAACTTCCAAGGAGATTATATTGAGATCTCCATATAACCTCCTTGGAACTTCCAATGCTCTCCTACATTTGTGCTAGCGCTAATGTAGCCGCTATGGAAAAACTGTTAATATTGTCTATCAAAAATTTGTTGAAATCACTTGATAAACGCTGCCTGTGCGGCCCTTTGTTTCCATAGACGGTTCACCGTGAGCTGTTCACGTTCCGCGCCCCTGACCCGGTGCTGACCATGCTGGACCACACCTGCCGGACAGAGAGGCTGACCCGGGCCGTCAGCTTCACCTCCTGTAGCGTGTGTGGCGCCTTCAGGGTCATCAGCGGCATGCTGTACCCGGGATCACTCAAACTGGAGTACATCAGGTACTGTGGACAAGTAGCACGATATAGGGAGTCAAAACTTGGGCCCTGAAGAGGAGAAGGAAATATAACATAATAGGAAATATGAAGGAAATAGCATGTCTATTTTCCTTCGGTAGAAAACACAATCATTTTTTCGCCCACGTCCCAATACCGAAGTAAGTTTTTAAAATATCTTCAAACGGATCATATAGAGAGAAATTTTATTCATATTGGGTTACCTGACCATTGATGTGAATATATGTGTATAGGACAAAACTTGATCAAGATGTATTTTCGTTCTATCGACGAAACTCACAGATACAACTCCTACAAGTTGGCTGAAGACGACCTGGCCACGCCTGGTGCCACACCCGTGACCACACCCGTGACCACGCCCCTGGCCACGCCCAAGTCGCTGAGCGTCGTGGACGGTCCCATCCCCGAGCTGGAGGAATCCTCCGCTCACATGGAGAACTCCAGCTTCACAGACTCCATGTTGTCTGTCAGCGAGGAGTCTCCTCTGGAAGGATGAGACCAAACCAGGGGAGGGGTAGGATGTGTCAGGAGAGGCGAGGAGATTAGGGAAGACTCGCAATTATCTTTACATAATCAAAAATTCAAAAGAATTTTGCACCAGGCTGCTGACAAAAATGTCATCTGAATTTTTAACTCGTACATTTAACTTGATGTAAAAATCAAACTTCACAAGTTTATATTCATGTCACTTCGATCGTTTAGAATTACCTTGCATCACAGGTCATCCTTTTTAGAAATTTAAGATACTGACTGATAGCGTAGCTTTATAGCAATTTGTTGCTTTATAGCAACTCTGTTGCAAATAAAACATAATATAGCTGTGTATCCTGCAATAGAACAATAACTGATATGCTAGATATAGCACAACAAGGTGTTATCAGGTTCAGGCGTCTCTAGAACAAGTTGCATTGGCTGAATCTGCGAAATAAAGGAGAAATGAAAGCCGTAAAAGAAAATATCCTCTGAATTGTAGACTTTGACTAGGATAAAGAGCCAGACGTTTGTCATGTAGTCATGTAGCTTAGGCTAGTTTCCCCGCCAATTACAATTTTGAGCACCCTTAATGTAAACAAAAACTTCCCTTCTTCTTATCCTATAACATCGTTTTCCCTGGAGATTGGGTCATTTAAAGCTTTAGCCTTTACAACAGCGTTCTGTGCACGAACTCTTCCCCATTTGCATAACAAATACTATCACTCATATCACATAGTATTACAGAATGTTTCTTAGCGAAAACGTGAAAGACACGGCACAAATACATACGTAGAAGTTAATTGCAGGCATGAGGTTCAGAAGCATGGAATACGTACTAGTGTTACGCAGGTGTACACCTTACCTGTTGTGCGCTACAGATAACCTGGGGCTAACAGAGATAGTACGGTATGTCGTCTGACAAGTCTTCTGCCGCTCTGAAGGCCTCCCTAATCATGGCGGAGGGCGGAGGCACGCCGAAGCTGGAGGTTGTCGTGCAGTCCGCCAAAAACCTCATCAACCTCGAGAGAATCGGGAAGAGTGACCCCTACTGTATCGTGGAGTACAAAGGTATGGATAGAAGTCGTTTATAACCTGTGAAATTCAAGCCCGCGTATGTGCGAGAGTCGATCCAGATTGGAACCCAGAAAATGTGACAACCACAGCCGCAGGCGTTTTAGCGTGCTGTGATTGTCCTACTTCGCACAAACACGATTGTAGGACGCTCTGTTTAGTTGGTGATTTATACGTTTGATGCTTGTTCTTATGTGCTTAGCTCCCTAATGCTCTGTCTTAAAAATATACAAGGCTGTAACGTTTACGTAATGTCTGCAATATACCATGTTCGTGGAATGGTAGCTGTTTTCGTACGAACTTACATATGTACACAGGCCACATATGGAGAGATAGGAAGACGGAATTGTAACGGCAATAGAAAAGCCAGAACTATTGTTTGATGATTTTTAACATGATTAAGCATGTTCAGGTGTAAACATGCAGCGGAAGGCAGATGTCTAAAATAGTTAGACTCTTGTACAGAAGGTAAACGCTTCAATTCATACATGTAACCAAAGGTGTTACCGATTGCGCTCTTCCACCATTTCGTTATGGGAAATGCCTCGGTGAAATTGTATGTTTTAAGTCATCTATTTTAAGTCATCTGTAATATATAGCCATATGTAGATAAAACTTGGTTTCAAGTAGGGCTAATGTATGTGTATGTGTGACAAAGTTTCTGACTCGAACCAGCCTGTGTGTCAGAGTGAAAGGTCATTTCACCCGCTGGCCAATATTCATATGGATACCCTAATTGAGAAAACTGCTTTGTACGCAGTAAATGTGAAATAAGGACGGCATTGATGTGATGATTACATACGGAAAATGTATCAAAATGTTTAGTACGCTTTTAAATACGGATCTATGGATCGAGACGTGCGATTATTTTACAGAAATGGCAGGCTTGTGAGAGAACAATAGACCTGTCATATCGGGATCGCTAAAACGCAGGGAATGACCTTGGGGATCCTTCTGGATTAAACTGTGAAGAAAACCGAGACAAATGTTTCTATACGTCACGTCCAGGACCGGCTTTAGTACGAACAATCGATAACCAATCCACACATGTACCTTGGGCCAAATTTATAAGAACTACTGGAAAAAACGCGATAAAACTTGACTTGTTCTAAGGGGGCGGGACGTTAGGACGAGCGCCTAGGGCGCCTTGAACTCTATATGGGACTGGGAAAATGTCTATTATGTGGTGTTTTGGTGTTCAGCCCAACGAATATATCGAGTACAACCGTTTGTGTAGATAGGTGTTTGCTTTTTGACGCAAGTATTTTACATTCCTCATTTTTCTCTTGATTGGAGCCAGTTAATTTGTTTGGCACCTTTTGTCTCGAACAGCTGCGTAGAAATTCAGATAATACGTGCCATACCAAACATTTACCTCCTTATTACCTTCATATTTACTGTGATGTGGATAAGTGGCCAGCATCTGGGTACAGTCGACCCTTTAGAGTCATGTATGATGTTATGAGACGCCATTAACAATCCATTTTGTGTACTGAATACAACTGTTGTAGCGGCCTCACGTTTACCCCCGGGGTGTGTTACGCGGCTTGATGACCTGACACTCATCTAGTGCCGCTCCTATCACACGCAGTCTAACACAAACTCAAAAGCGGATGATATCGCTGTACTTTGTTATTACTATCGCAATTGCTGGACGCGATTCATAACAGTTCACACACATGTATCGCTTGATTTAGGTTTTAGATTGATATGGACTGTGTTCCTTCAATGATCTTGGTTACTTTGAATACGGCGATGTTTCAAGGGACGACCCGAAGAGGATCAACCATGCCTGCTACACCGTCATACATTCTGTATAACGATCTCTAAAATATATTTTGATGTTTTTAGGTGAAGAACAACAAACTGATGTGATAAATAATGACCTAAACCCTAAATGGAACAAGGTTTGTGCCTTCTGCATTGGTTTTCCCCAATTTACTGACATGATATTCCAACATAGCAACGTACGTAAGGGCAAAGTTTCGCCAGTAGAATTCTTAAGGGAAAATTATTTTGTGGAAAACGGAATATAGGAGCCGAACACTTACCCGTAAGAAGCGTTGCAGCAGGATGACTGAATTTTACATTTATAGTATTACACGTGTCGATATGAAATATAGCTGACATGCACATTTGTTTACAAAAATACCAATTGAAATGTGGTTCAGTAATATTTCTTTTGCTTTGTGATGACTGACAGACTCTGACCTTTGAACTCCATGGCCAAGCGGTCACGGCCAACGAACTTCTCAAGATCACAGTGAAGGACCATGAGGTCATCGGCAGGGACAGGTGAGAGGCGCTACAGTTCACTCAGTAACAGGCACTAGTACTAACTGTCAGATGTCTGGGACTTGGTACCGGTATGCAGCTGGTTCCCCCAGGCATGGTCACAATTGAAAGGGGGTTCTAATCTGTTGCAATGAAAATCGTAGCTTTTTTAAAATGTGAATCATCACAGATGTAACTTTTTATGCCAATATGACGGCATATGGTGCGCACGATGACCACTCTATGAACGCAAGCTTCCGACACTTTGTTTGTTACCTCTTTGATCACAAGATGTAATTGCTGCAACCAGTGGTAATAGAGCACGTTATACCATTAGAAGTATAAGCTCTCGTCCAATGTAAACGCTATATCTGAATGCACCTTCTTGGAGAAATCTTGTTCCAACATTGATTTTTTGGTTTTAACAGTTAATTGCATCCGATTTGGGTTCTCAAGGGAACGAACTGCATGAATGCTGAGTGTGTGGTGTTAGTGTTTTGACGGGTTCCCTATGCTAAATGATGCACTATCTGTACTTTCACACGTCTTCAGACTGCTCGGTCAGTGTGATGTGCCTCTGAGAAACGTGGCAACTAGCTCTGGACCGAACCGCTCCTGCCAAGTGGACATCAAGCTGAAAGATGGCAGCCGTCAGCCAACCCAGGTAGGTTCATAGAACATTCTGTTAGCCACATTCTGGGTCCTAAGACAATATTGTTGCTAAATTCAGAGTTGAGTCTTGTAAGCCTGAAATCATTTTCTTTTTCATACGTTTCAGCAAACGATTAAGCTGAAGGTGAACTACACACCACCGCCACCAGGTAAGAAAATCAACGTTTGAACATGTAATTTCTGTCTTATGCTGAGGTCACATTTCCAAACCGGGGCCCGGCCGGGCAGTCGTATGGAATTCGAATGAAAAGCATGATAAAAAACAACAAAGCACAAAAATTGAAAAAATTAATAATGGGAACTATTTGTGTATATTATTGATATACATTATTGATTTTTCGTTAATCGAAATATCCCGGCCGGTCCCCGGTTGGGAAATGTGACCTCAGCATGGCCTACTAATGGTTAATTCAATATTGAAAATGAAATGAAATGATCTTTATTGCATATCCTTGCCCAGACGGGCTAAATGCATACATGCTTTGTCACAGTATAAAAGCCAGAAAGTACTAATGATGGTTGTGTTACAGGGACTGGCACTCCGGGAGGACCAGGCATTCCAGAAGGGGGAGGAGTCGCAGGGTGAGCTTATGGCTATTAATATTATGGGGATAGGCTAGGGGATCTTCAATGGCTATTGAGACTATCTTTGTCCCACTTTTATCATGATGCTAGTCTTTCTGCTAATCAGTCTGTCCAGTATGCCAGTTCCCGGCACTCTTGTTCCCAGCGCACCTGTTCCCGGCACTCTTGTTCCCAGCGCACCTGTTCCCAGCATTGTTGTCCCAAGCTCCACTGACATATTTTATGTCTGTTTCAGGTTAACACTGAGCAGTTTACCCCAGAACTTATCAACATCACCAGAAGATTTCCAGGTAGATAAATTTTAAAGAGAGGATATAGCTTACGTTTTTGTTGTTTTACATTTTCGGCCTTATCGTTTGTCAAAGTTGTTTTAGCATTTTCTTATCTAAATATGAGATCTGTTCAAGCTTGTGTTGCTTCCACGTTATAACTATTGACGTTGACAGAAAAACACGACCTAGTACTAGTGATGCTGTTGAGTTGAAACATTGCCCTCTAGTGAAATCATATCAAATTGCAGCTCATGTACACTTCACACAAATGAAATCTTAGCAGTGATTGGCCACCATACTGCTGTTCGTGAATTGACCGAGACTGCTACGCTAGGGCATATTATCAGTTTTTAGCGAATTTGAATTGCATGACAAAAGGAGCAGTATGCCCAAATGAAACACAGATTTTACCCCCCCCCTCCCCATAGGTTCGTATCCGGGTGGTTGAGGGTCGTCAGATCGAGGGCAGTGATGTCTCTCCTGTTGTGAAAGTCACCGTCAGTAACCAGACTAAACAGACCCGAGCCGCAAAACACACATCTAGTCCCTACTTCGACCAGGTGAGTCCTTTGGAAAATGTCTCTCTTCTAGTTCTATTAAATTAGAACATGAAGCATTTACAACTAGAAGAAGAAATGGTGCCATACATTTTGAAAATGTTTAAATTCCATTTCAACTTGAGATGATATTACACATGTTGTTGCTCACCATGACACTGCTTATGTCTCCACTTTTCAGTTATTTTTCTTCAACTTCAACGAGTCTCCTGCTGAGCTGTTTACAGATTGGATTGAATTTGAGGTAAGAGTTAATCATGAATATCTAATAAACTCTTACCACATACTCTGAGGTGATGGACAATTACCAGGTTTTAATTTTGAATGGACCTTTGACTGATTTCCTTCCTTTCTTGCAGGTTTCCAATGCAAAGAGATTTCGTAGTAACTCATTGATTGGCATGTTTAAGGTAAGCAATGGTAGAAACTTTACTGGAACTCTAAAGGCAATAAAAAGGAATGGCAGAATCATGAATTGAGGCAAGGAAACAAATGAACAGATGTTATGGTAACACAGATTTGTTTGATGAATGGATAGGCAGTTTGAACTGTACCAGAGATATTGGCAAGATATGATTTCTACATTTAGATGAAATTTTTGCATTACAGTGTTGGTTTGTTGTTGATTGGGACAATGTTTCTTTACATTTCAGATACCAGTAGGAGTTGTTTATATCCAAGAAGGTATGTTGCAATTTTAGATGACTTTTACACAAGAATCAAACATTTGCAAAAATGTACTCAAACTAGTAAAACACGACCAGCTGACAAACTCAGATGTTGAATGTTTTAATCAACAGGTCACAGTTTTATGAGAAAATGGTTGCTGCTCAGCAATCCCGAGGATCCCACTGCAGGGGCCAAAGGTTATCTCAAGGTCACGATGATTGTCCTTGGACCTGGTGATGAAGCTCCAGTAAGTCAAGCTCCTGTTGAATATGGTTAATAAATCCTTTAAAAAATGTCCTGTCCTCTGATCTGATTAGACAATATCATGCCCAGTAGTATAAGTCATCCTCATGTCTTATTCATGTCTTGAAAGTGCATGCTTAAACTGTAGAATTTTTGCCTCCTAAAAACTTAATGAGTGATCTGAATCTATCTTTTTTCAGTATCTTTTAAGTAGTAAATATTATCATTTAGTCATTTATTCACCTTTAGTTACTGTAATAGTTATACTGTAAAGTAGAAACTACCTTTCCTGTAGTATTCACCTCCGCCTTCTACCCTCTTTCTTCTTGTTCAGTCTTCCAAGAAGAACAGTGACTCTGAGGTATGTGTATCGGTAGCTTGCCTGCGCTACAGTGCAACAATCGCAGGGAGCTTTTTTTGCGTTTGTGCATTAAGGTCCGGTAAAGAATGTGTTTTGCCTTGATGGCAACACTATGCTTCCAAGGAGCCAGGTGAGCCAGAGGATGGTCAAGATCATGCTGTCTGCTGTCTTTTGTCTGCTGTCTTTTACAGTCTTACTACAATTGTCATATCTCCTTTGACTCTTTCTTAGGTTACATAAGGTTTAACGGTTAAGTCTGTGGTTAAAATCTTACATGTTGGTGACAATACAAAAACTATGCTTGAAAAGCCTTTTCTTATTCGACCACTATGACAAAAGCGAAAATTTTTAATTTGCACCAAGCTTTCTGTAATACTGAAATGCTGCCATGTAAAGGCACTGTTTGTAAGGGCTGAGGCACATTGCCTTTGTTGGGAAGCTTATCAAGATCATTGAGTTTGTGGATGTCCTCTTGTTTTAACTTCTTGTGTTTTGGCTAATTTGTGTTCTTGTCATGTGTTTTGGCTAATTTGTGTTCTTGTCATGTGTTTTGGCTAACTTGTGTTATATTGTTTTAACTTCTTGTGTTTTGGCTAACTTGTGTTCTTGTGCTAACTTCTTGTGTTTTGGCTTTCCACAGCAATCTGGAAAAGGAACAGAGGGTGATGATGATGTAGAGTCGTGAGTACAGAATCAGACTACTTTTTGCACATTTTTTCTTAGAATTACTTTTCTAATTTAGTTTTGTAATAATTGGTATTCCTATGAACAAATCAACACAATGTTGATGACATTTTCCCACCGTAGGAACCTCTTACGACCGGCTGGTGTGCAGCTCCGCCCAGCCACTCTCTCACTCAAGGTCTTCCAGGCTGAGGATATTCCTCAGAGTAAGTCATGTTCTTTCAGGAAATGGTGTTGTGTGGAAAAGGAAGAAACAGTTCCAGCACTACCAGGCACCTTGGCTCACTGTCAAACATGCCTGTCCTTGGTGCTGAACACCTTCCACATTGTAAAACATGCCTGTCCTTGGTGCTGAACGCCTTCCTCATAGTCAAACAGGCCTGTCCTTGGTGCTGAACACCTTCCTCATTGTTAAAGAGGCCTGTCCTTGTTGCAGAACACCTTTCTCACAGTGAAACATGCATGTTCTTGGTGCATAACACCTTCCTCAGTGTCAAACATGCCTGTCCATGGTGCTGAACACCTTCCCAAAAATAAAACAAACCTGTTAATAGTGCTGAACACCATCCACACACAGTCAAACAGACCTGTCAATGATGACAGGCGCATTTTCTCAGGAAAGTATAGTGTGATGCTTTTTGAAAATGACTTTTTTTCCTGCAGTGGACAGTGCAGCTTTGGAAGGCATCAAAAACTTATTTGGAGCAGGCACTGAATCAAAGAAGCTTGTGGACCCCTACTTTCAAATGGAATATGCTGGAAAAAAGGTAACATTTTGAATGTAACTACCTTGTTTGCTGACATTACATTAGAAGGTAAACGATTGTCTAGAAATTAGCCAGTATTGTTTAATTTGTGGTACTAGTAAATGATTTCATGTTTGATCTGATCATGTTTATTCTCCCTGTGTTTCAGGTGAAAACAAAAACAATGTACAAGACCAACTGCCCAGAATGGAATGAAGAACTCAAGATTGCATTCCAAGTAAGATCTCTGCAGTTTCCTCATTACAAACCAGAAAGTCTTTCTGGCTCTGACATGGGACATGGGTTTTGCAACTGTACATGTTTTCAAAAGTGTCATACCACACAGATTATACAGTTTTTTAATGCAACTAAATACTCAAAATATTTCTATCTCTTTCCTCCTTCTCCAGTTTCCATCCATGTGTACAAAAATCAAGCTGACACTCAAGGACTGGTAAGTACATTCTTGTAAGAAGTATCTGAGTGTGTTATTCATTTTGATTTGGCTCCTTGGTGATAACAAGACCAATTTTCCTTCCCCATCCCAGGGACCGGTTTGGCAGTGATGACACCATAGCCACAGTGTTCCTGGATGTCTCTGCTGTATCATGGCCAGCTGGGGCTCATGGTGAGACAAACTGTTAGCCTGTGTTGTTTGTTAGTGTATTTGCATTGATGAGTTAGATCACCTATAAGACCACACAATGAAGCATATTGTACATGTTATACAATTCTATGTGTATAACAATATTAGAAGTGTTGAACCAGTGAAAATGTTCTCCGTAGGTTTCCTCCCCAGCATGGGCCCAGCCTTCATCAACTTCTATGGCGGACCTCGGGAATTCAGCGCACTGCCTGATGGGTATGATGACCTTAACAAGGGAAAGGTAATTCATCTGTACTTATTTGCTGGTTTGCTTGCCTTAATCACTCAGCTCAGATGATGAAAGAAAAGATTTCATACATTTATAGGAATAGACAAAACCTGTATAGAAATGGGTGTCTGAGGTCTCAATTTAGTGGTTTTTGTAATATTTTGCAATCATTACTGTAGGCAACATATTAACAGATACAATGTATATCTTAAGTGAGTAATTCTAAGCCCCTATGCTTGCCAGTGAATCTTCTATGTCCTGTCTATCTCCAGGGTGAGGGTGTGGCCTACAGAGGGCGCGTCCTGATGCAGCTCAGCACCACCATGGGGGAGCAGCCGGAGGATGGAACAGAAGTCATCGACATCCAGGAGGAGGACCTCCCCATTGTCGATGTACACAAACCTTGGCATTTCCTAGCTGTTCAGATAATGTTATATGTTTCCAGCATTGAGAAAATAACAAGTCACAGAAAAATGGAAGAAAGTTAAATCTAAATTTCAACATCAAAGTGAATGCTATTTCCTTCAAAATTCTAACATGCAACATCAATATTCCTTGCAGAAATTCATGAGACGGCGTCGGTTTCGCCTGGCTGTCTTTATGCTCTCTGCTACGAGGATGCGGAAAAAGGACACAGACATGCCCATATCCTTTGAAGTGTCTGTGGGCAATTTTGGAGACATTTTAGACACTTCCACACCTCCTTCTTCATCTTCAACACAGGTGGGTCCTGTGACAGGGATGTAGGGTTTCTACATGTAGAGAATGATCTAAGTTTGTCATATATGCTATAAACAATTGATCATTCATTCATGGATGTGCAATCATGATTTCTTTCTCCAATATATGTTTCTTGTATATGTCTGTAGCCCACCAATGCAGTGTTTGATGGCACCTATTATTACTACCTCCCCTGGGGGAAGAAGAAGCCAGTGCTGACACTACTGTGTAGTATTGAGGACATCCGCTTCAGAGTTCAGGCCTACAACCAGCTCAACAGCATCATAGACACAATAGTGGGCTTCAGATCTTCTTGTCTAGTTTTATGCGAAATATTGGTAACCTGATATCAACCTGAATAGTAGTAAGATACAGGGTTCTTGTTTTCAAACATTTAATGCAGAGCTTTAGGGATAATTTGTACACTCTTAGCACATATGGCAAAAGAGAATATACTAAGAAATCTGTAACTTTAATTCTAATACTACAGGAACAGCAAAAACATTCAATGTTTTGGGCTTTATTTCAGAATCGTCACCTGAACAGAATCGCTGTGTGCCAACGTGCCAAGGCTTCACAGGAAGTCCTCATTACACTGGCAACTGCACTCCTGGATGCTGTCATTCTCAACTGCAAGTATGTACTATCATAATCTTCATAAAACAGCATGTATAATCATAATCATATCATTTACCTTGATGTCTAACCTTTATCATCGGATTGTAAGAATAGTGTCTTCATTATCATTGACTGGCGTGGATGTTTTAACTTAAGGTAGATCCATGTTAGCTTTCCATTGTGTATGATATGTATAATGTAAACTAAAGGAAGGTCTTTGATATGGAATTTTGAAGGAAACCACTGCCTGCTCCGTTTGAGAACCAAGCAGCCACTGAGATGGACAACAGCATTGCCGTGGTGAGGAGGGTAGAGTTAAAGAAGATTGTGGAGGATGCTTCCACATTGAGGAGTGAGGAGGAGGCTCCCATTGATGTGGAAACAGTCGTCAGCAAAGCTGAAGGATATGTGGGAATGCTGGGGAACTTGGCACAAGGGGTTGGTTGTTACAGTAACATCTTGCTTTTGAATGTAAAAGAACTGGCCTGTGTGTATTGTATGACTTGCTTTTGTGGCCATACCTCAGGGGTGGAGCTTATTTGAATGAAATGGGATTAAACATACAATTTAGATGTGTCATGTGTAAATTCTGTATGTTTGCTTGTGCAGCCACCAAGCAGCATGCCAGACATCATGATCTGGATGATCGGTGGGGAGAAGAAGAAGATTGCGTACTACCGCATCCCTGCACACGAGGTTCTGTTCTCCCCCAACCCTGACCACAGGGGAAAGTTCTGTGGGAAAACACAGACAATTGTCATGAAGGTCAGCTTTTGGAACTAACTGTATTTTTATGTACAGATGCAATAAGAATTTAGGGCAATAATCAAGATGATTAGAAATAGCCAACGCTACTATGATTACTTTTACAATAGATTGATTCATTATCATGAAAAATTATGATTCCTCTTTGATGCTGTATATGTCAGATCTGCTGACATTTTTAGAGGATAGCTATGTCTAATTAATATTCTTGGCTATTCACTGTTTTGTTGGATGTAGTACCTGGATAAGAAGGATAAGAAGAGGCTACCATGCCAGCTGCGTCTGAACGTGTGGTTTGGGCTGCAGCGTCAGGCTCACCTGTTCACACGGCAGGGTGCAGAGGGTGTCATCAACGTGTACGCAGAGACCTACCAGAACCAGGTGACTGACGGTGTTTTGTTGTTCTGATCTCAAGAGTTTTTTCTACTACTGCTACTGATCTGTAATCCTAGACTTACTCTTGTAGTGATGAGTATGCATGCTGTCACTATGTAACAGTCCTTTTTTGGTTGGCCCAAACATGCTAGTAATCAGGCCAATGCTTCCAGGCACACGTTCTGCACTTTTAAAGACCCACCAGACCTCTAGTAATAGTACTCATAACTCATAAAGTGTAACTGTTACAGGATTTTTTTGCCAGCAAGTGGTCAATCAGATTTTTTACCTCAGAGAGAGATATAAGGGGTCTAAACCTGTTGATATCCTACTTTCCAGCACCGAGGGATTATCCATGGTTGGGAGGACTGCCATGGTGATGACCGCCAGCCCTGGTCTGATGTAGCAGGACTGGTGCCCCTGCCTAAGGACAACTTTGTTCCTGCTGAGGGCTGGAAGTGGGCGGGACCTTGGTTTGTGGACCCTGACCCAAGGTGAGATGGCTGTGGTTTTTACACTTATATCTACACTTCCAGCAATTTTTGTACAATGTGATATGAATTTTCTGATAATATCTTGCAAATGTTTAGGTTCGTTTATTTTTATCTACTAATACACCAAAGCAACATATAGCATTTACTGGTAACTATACCAATCCTACAATGTTTTGAGTCATAAAAGTCATGGTCACCGTGGCATTTTTATTCCTTGATAGCATGTTTCTGGGAAAAGACGCCGGGTTCAAAACCTTTGTGGAAGAGGTGTATGAACATGAGGTGCGGCAGGGCCCTGGACGGTCATGGGAAAAGGACTCGGATGAAACCAAACACTGGACAGACAGCAGTAACAAACCTGCCCATCGTACTGACCAGGTCACCTGTGCTGAGGGATGGGAGTGGTCATCTGACTGGGAGGTGGACTTGAACAGGGCAGTGGATGAGGAGGGTGAGCAGTAAAGCATGAAACAAATTTTATACCTTAAAGTTTTTCCATACATTTGGCTATACAGCTACAGTTCTTGACAGTTAGTTTTAAACAGGTGGTTATTCCTCCATTTCCTTGTAAGAATCTGATAGGCATCACCTTGTTAATCATTGTGTGTTCTCTTTCAGGCTGGGAGTACATTGTGGAGGTGTTCTCAGGTGCGTGGACAGGTGTGGAGAAACAGTTCCACCTGTGCCGCAGGAAACGTTGGATCAGGAAGCGGGAGAGAGTTGCAGAGGATGACAGCAAGAAAGTGAGTTAGGTCAACTGTCACTGGGGGGGATTTTGCAATTCAGATACTGAACCTGTACTCCAGAAAAGGGGCATAAGAGATGAGGAAAGTGTTTAAACTGCATGATGTGCTGAACGAGAAACAATCATGCTGACTTTAGCAACTTGTAAGTACCTACGAAAATACTGTCCCAACCATGGCATGTCTGGAAGTGCTTCAAATTGTTAACTTGAAATCCATGCCACCCACAGCAGAAGGAGCTGATGAAAGGGGGAGGCTGGATGTGTGCCATGACGTGGTCCTCCCGGTTTGAAGCGGAGGAGGGGATCTCAGACATGGTCCGGAAGCGCCGGTGGCACCGCAAGATGGTTCCTGAGGAAGAGGCAGAGGGTGCCTTTCTCACATTGGGCGCCACAGCATTGGTACATCAGAAATATCAACAACTGATTCATGACATGGTGGAGGTGGTGGTCAGTGTATCTTTGGGATTCATAATGCTATAATGTGCTTCTTTGTTGTGCTAAGAAAATTAATGTGTCAAACTGAGAAAAAAAGGACAGCAAAGTTCTTGATGTTTTGTTTCTGAAACTTTCTATCCGTGAATAGTGTTTCCTGTTTTCAATATTACAGAAAGCTGAAGGAAAGGAGGACAAACAGAAAATGGGGGCAATGTATGCCCCACGTGTCATGCTCAGTTATGAAAGTAAGTGTCTCCTAGCTACTTTTCAATGTCTTCTGCTTGGTGCTAAACTATAACTCTCAATTCAGAGTCCAGTTACTTCGTAGGCTCAGAGGTACCTGTTGTCAGCATCATCAGTAGGCAATACAGTGTCAAGAAGAGAAGCAAAGAAGTAGAGAGAAATCAACAGTCCTCAAACTATAGAGGAGTTCATTAATAATAATGTTGCATTTACTAAAGCCACTGTGTCCTGTGTCCCCAGAGACCCATGTGTACCAGTTGAGATGTTACCTGTACCAGGGGAGGGACCTGCCTGTCATGGATGAAGAAAGTTTGGCAGGTAATTCTGCAGCTTTGGGATGATTTTAACATTCTTAGTCTCACGGTCAATCCTCTATCCCAAAAAATTATATTTTCTATTTTTTTGGGAAATAAGCAGATGTTAGGCCCACATGGCCCTTCTTGAGAGAGCCAAATACTTTTGGTAACATTGCCTTTGCAAAGTTTTAGAAAAGCTGGACACCACAGATATATAATGTCCTATTGATCTTGATCAACTCTTGCCTGTTTTGCACTTCAGGTGACCTCCTGGGTGGTAACAAGGATGTTTCCTGTGGTGAGTACATCTGAACTTTGACTCTGAAGCAGTAAAAAACAACAAGCCAAACTCTGAGCAGGTGAATTAATGTTGATGACTTTAGGAGTGAAAAATCAATGTCTGTGCATTAACAATTGAAAATTTTTACTCCAACTTCCTGTGACAGACCCATTCTGCCGAGTGTCCTTCCTGAACCACACGGCTCTGACAGAGATCAAGAGATACACCCTGAACCCCACCTGGGACCAGACACTCATCATCGACAACATCCAGATCCACGCAGATCCAGACAAGCTGGCAGAGGATCCACCCATCATCTTCACATCTGTGCTGGATCATGATCCAATGGTCAGTCATAAAAGTCACACATTGTGAATACAAATTAACTCCATGGTACAATTCTTCTGCAACTCACTGTAGCATTGGAGAACTTACAGGAAAGCAAACTCAGTTGGTCTTGTAGGAAAAAAAGAATTTCCTAATTATCCCCAACCCGCTTTTACCATGGACACCTGAACGGTAATATTTGTAACTGTTACATATATTACCTAAATAATCTTCAAAGTACTTAATTTGGCCTTGTAACACTATTTGGGGGGCATTGGAGGGTATATTACACTGTATGTAAGTTATGTATGAAACTTTTTAGCACACTAAAAGTGAATTCAGTAACCTTAGAATCAGGAAAGGTAAAATCTGTTTTCCAGCAAAAGGCTGAGTACATTGGCCGGTCCATGAGTGTGCCCATGGTGAAGTTAAGTGGTGGGAGGGACCCGAGGAAGCCTCGTCTGGGCTGGTACACCATCAACACCAGGGAGGGCGGATCTGCAGGCCAGCTGCTGGCTGCATTTGAACTGTACATGGTGAGTATATGTATGCTGGAGAGAGTCTTTCACAGAAAATATGCTGCAAAAATGCCACTGAATATGTGTGTGACAGGTGCATATATGCAATTTTTTTTTTCTCATTCCTATGTGAAATGGTTGCTAATGTCCATGTTTGTTTATTAGGATGATGGGCACCTGCCACCACCCCCACCTATGCAGGAGGGCAGTGACACGCTGTTTCAGGTGCCTTCAGAAATCCGGCCACAGATGCAGAGAACAGGAATAGAGGTACAGTATGTCAAATAACCATTCTCCGAAGATATGTAACCGAAGTGGAACAATCTATTTCAGCACATGTTGAAAGTATAAATAGTACGTAAGGTCCCTTAAGACTTGGGATGAAAAGAAAATTGAAATGTTTCATGCCAATGGTTACATGTGCTTGTTGCCAGGTGCTCTGTTGGGGTGTGCGTAAGCTGAAGAAGTACCACCTGAGGAACGTGACGTCACCACAGTGTGAATTTGAAATCGGCGGAAACGTCATGAAGTCACCGGTCATCAAGTCTGTGGAACAGAATCCAAACTTTCCAGAACCTTCCATCTTCTTTGATGTGGTGAGTATGATGTAATGGGAATTTTTTACCTTTCACACACTCACATATTGATAATGAATCCTCATCAAAATTGAAATTCATTACCATTTTTTTTACAGTATTTACCTAGTGAAAACCTGTACATGCCCCCAATGACCATCAAAGTTCGTGACCACCGGCTATTCGGACGTAAACCAGTTGTTGGTAGATACGTGATCTCCAACCTAACTCCGTTCAACCTAACACCAGAACAGCAAACTGGACCAGAGGAAGGGGGAGGTCAGTATGTGCTGTTATCTGTCAATTATCTGACGTGTTGAAGAAGATTATTTGGTGTTGGCTTACTTTTGACAGTGCGTTGGTTTTTTGTGTCCTTGGTGCTGAATGAACCTGACCTATAGCTGTTCCTGGTGCTCTGAGTTACATGTATGTCCTTGGTGCTGAATGAACCTCACACATAACTGTTCCTGGTACTCTAACTCACATAGATGTCCTTGGTGCTGAATCACCCTTAAACATAGCTGTTCCTTGTGTTCGTAGACTCTCAAAGTTGTCCTTGGTGCTGAATGACCTTCACACTGAGTCCTTTCTTATATCATACCATTACTGTTATATTTCTTTGTGTTGTCACCAGATGGACAGCCACAGCAGGAGGAGGAGGTAGAACCAGAAGGAGAACCTCCAGACGAGGGCCACACTGTACTGGAGATCGAACCTCCGTCAGAAGAACCAAAAGAACAGGTACGTCTTAAACAGTGATTACAGGTTTATTGACTGTTAAACACATATCATATGTATTTTTGATAGAAGAATGCTTTGGGATGTATTTGATGCTAATTGTGGATAACTGTGTTGCAACTCTGTTACAGGACTCATTGCTTGGGAAATTAGCTGGAAAGTCAAAGGTAACCACAGATATTTGTTTGAAAGTAATCAAACAAACGTATAAGTCATATAATTGCTCATTAAGTAATAAGTGATTTCCTGTTGGTAAGGATCTGGATTTGGGTTCAGGAATTGTTTCTTTGAAAGTACATTGTATAGATAACAAGATGTAGATTATACTGTAAAGATAATAAGTGAAGGAAAAGGATGGCACATACATGTACTACTTGTCTAGTTGGCCCATTATCACACGCCTTCTCTTCATCCTCCCCAGTTCCTGGGTGGCCTCATCATGCCCATTGATACCATCGTACCTGGTGACAACAAACAAGCTACAGGGTCAAAAAGTGGAAGCAAATCTTCACAAGTATGTTTCCTATTGACTTGCATTGAGTGTGATATAATAAAGTAAAACTATCCTTACATTAGTCACCTATACATGACCTTTTTCGGATCCCAAAATGTCATACTTGTATGCCGCTATGAAGACTCTACACAATATAATTATGGTACTTTTATCATTCAGGCTATAGCCTGGATACCATCCAGATTTTTGCTCCACAATGCTAAAAAAAATTGAGCGTTGCAGAGTGAAAATCTGGATGGTATCAGGCTACATTGGCTAGCACAAAACTGCAATATGAAAGTGCCTACTACCACCTACTTAGTCCACGAACATTTGCATCCAGTAAACTCATCATTCATGTGTGCTGCATGGTCCTCATAATCAGCATCACCTCCTGCCCTTAACTTGTTCCCTAGCAACCAGATGAGGAGACAGAGGAGGACATTGATTGGTGGTGTAAATTCTACGCCTCTATCGGAGATGAGCAACAAGCAGGCAGCTACCTGCAGCATGGGTACGACACCATGGAGGTTAGTACAAACACTCAGTTCCTTATCTGAGAGGAGCAAAACTTCTGCATTTCAGGAATGTGGCCAAACCAATTTTATCAAAACCAAAATTGCAGTTAATCAATGTAATTTTCTTCCCCTCCAGGTGTATGATGCTCCTCTTGAGACGAGAAAGGAGTTTGACTGCCTTGAAGATTTTACATCAACTTTCTTCCTGGAGAGAGGGAAGAAGGGGGACTCTGATGATGAGGATGATGATGAATCTGTGGGGGAAGTCAAGGTGTGAAAACAATGCAGCCTGGTTGTACTCTATGTACTCTAAATACTTAAAATCTGACATATAAGTACTGTGGTGTGTAGAGCTCAAGTGAATAGGGATATGATGCTACACTTTCAAATTTGACATCACATATCAAAATATTACCAAAGGTTAGCACTGACAGAGGAAATGTCAAGATGCAAGTTAGAAAATTAAAATGAATTGAAGTGGAGCATGTTCAACACTGTTAAATATCATGTTGATATGATTGTTTTTCAGGCAAAGTTCTGCCTGTACCCCCTGCCAGCTGATCCCCGCGCGTCTCTCCCTCCCAAGATGTTGGACCGCTATCCCGCCCCAGACCCTGTGGACTGTGTGGTCCGGGTGTACGTCATACGTGCCATGACCTTACAGCCACAGGACATGAACGGACTGGTGAGCAACATGCCAACTTGATTTAAGATTTTATTGTGATAGATGGGCATAAATCTGTCAAACTTTATTCATATGTTCATGTGATAGGTTACCACAGAATGATTTGTTGGTTGCTTAACATTAGATCTTTTCCACAGGCTGATCCATACCTTCAGCTAAGACTGGGCAAGAGCAAGAAGTCTGATCGTGATAACTATGTGCCAAACACATTAGAACCAGTTTTTGGAAGGTTTGTGTTTTCAACTTTTCTGTTACCGTAAAAGTATTTGATACATTTTAGTCTCTTCAGCTACTTGATTTAGTTGAATGTTTGCGTAAGGTTACTTAAATGCCTTTTGCTAAATGGTCCTGCATCAATACAATGCAATTGAGTTTTCTAGCTGAGCCTAATTGGTTTTACGAGATAATTTGTCTTGATTTCTGCCCCTGATACATGTAATGTAATTCCAGCTTTTTTGAGCTGTCTGCCAGCATCCCACTGGAGAAGGATCTAGAGATCCGGGTGTACGACATGGATCTCATCTCCAGAGATGATCTCATCGGATCCACAGTCATCGACCTGGAGAACAGACTGCTGACTAAACACAGGGGAACCTGCGGCCTACCTCAGACATACACCACGTCAGTAACCATAGTTCAGACATATAAGTAGTACTTGCCATGTGCACTTGTTTTTAGCAGTTTTAGAAAGCAAATTGTTCAGATGCCATGCCAGTGCATCAAAGTTAGAGAGATAAGTGACCTGTACATAATGAAGCAATAGCTGATAAAATCCTTTTATTGTCTGTTCCTCGTCACTTATTCCAACAAATAAAACACTAAGTCTTATAGATCTGTTGTGATGCCAAGTTCAACATTTCTTGCAGTGATGGACCAAATGTGTGGAGAGATGTTCAAGAGCCTAAAGCAATATTGGAAAGTCTGGCAGAGAGAGACGGGATCGACAAACCTGTGTATGACGGGACAAACAAACTCAGGTTCAATGGCAAAACCTACAGACTCGAAACCTTTGGTAGGTCTTGACAGCTGGTTACTTTTCAAATCATACGTTATACATGAATGTACCACGAAAAATCTGGTACAAAGATGTTGAGACTTAAATGTTTGAGACATTTTTCATTATTGTGTTGGATGGAATTTGTGGATATGTTTGTCTGTCTGTCCATGTAGTGAGAGTTGTGTGGAGGGTGGGAGCTGATTTTGTCAGTTGATTAGCTGGTGTGTTACGCCAAAGGGCGGTTATACCGGCTATACAGATTCAGATTGATAGGGAGATCAAGGCTGCAGATGAAGCACAATAATACAATTCCCTCCCTAGTTCAATACATTCACAAAAAGCCAAAACACTTCCTCGAGGTCTGAAATCTTTCATTTCCTGTTGTAATTTGATTAGAAAATGGGAAGAAGCTCCCCAAGCATGTGGGGCCAGCAGAACAGCGACTGGCTCTACACGTGCTGAGGGAACAGAAGCTGGTGCCTGAACATGTGGAAACACGACCACTGTACAGTAAGATGCAGCCAGGATTGGAGCAGGTGACTGCGTGTTTCATAATTCATACATGACTGTCTGGTCTCCTTAATTCTTATCATATGAATACTGTCCATGGATGTTAAGAGTCATAAAATAGCAACAAAAGAAACAAGTTTTACATTCAAGTAAGGTATCTTATAGACTAGATTATGACTATGTCTAAATCTTGTTCTGACATACAGGGAAGGTTACAGCTGTGGGTAGACATCTTCCCCAAGGACCTGGGCCAGCCACCACCACCTGTAGATGTTACTCCTCGACAGGCTCAGAAGTAAGCTGATAACATTGTTGCACTTTTCTTTAATGTACTTGCTGTTTTCAACATACATGTAAGTGTCTCTGCAATTAACTGTACTTTTGGAACTGTGTCCTTTTAAAGGCTTACATGTATCAGAATTAATTCCAAATACTAGTAAACAGGCATTGATAGGAATTTCATTGGAAGAAATTGTGTGTTCAAAACATCTTTTGATGGCTTTTGCCTTCTGTTGCCTCTAAGGTATGAGTTGCGGGTGATCATTTGGAACACAGCTGATGTCTATTTGGAGGAGACGTCAATCACAGGAGAACAGATGAGTGACATCTACGTCAAAGGGTAAGGGACATGTTGACCCCTGTCAATCACATGATTATTGAATTGCCTATTTTGTTGATGTTACCCAATACTTAGCTTTGCGCAAAATCTGATTTTCTTATACTAAAAAAATGTTAACCTTTCCAGCTGGATTACTGGACTGGAAGATGACAAACAGAAGACTGACATCCATTACAGGTATGTTGTACTATGATTAATATATGATCACCATTAGCTACATGTATGTTTTACATGTATGTTTATCCTTTCTGCAGTTAAGATTAGCAGGATTATTGTAGATATGTGATCAGCAGTTCTTTGATTTGACAGGTCGCTGGATGGGACCGGCATGTTTAACTGGCGATTTGTCTTCTCATTTGAATACCTGCCAGCAGAGAAGATGGTTTACATCGCCAAGAAGGTTTGTCCATTGCTGTTTCTGTATTTGTACTGATCAACCAGTGACTATAACTCTTCTACATGTACATTTATTATGCAACACATTATTAGTCTCGTCGATGAAGGTTAGACATCCAGGTAATACGATACGCCAAAAAGCAGTTACTCAAGCAATTGGATATGATTTTGAAAACGTCAGACGTTTCAGCTAGTATCCACTAGCTTTCGTCAGTGACTGAGAGACCAGAGGGGAAAACAGGTTTATAAGCACAACCTCTTGATTGATATGCAAATAAAGTGAAGACAAATTTTTGGAAGTCGAAAAGGAACGAAAGTCAGACAAGTCAAGACAAGATGATGCAAATTAGTCTGAAAGCTCCTGTTATACAGAACAGGAGCTTAAGTGTTGTCTGTTCTCGGGGCTGGGAGTGCCAAATCCCAAGTGCCGGAAAGATCGACCCGTAGCCCCCCTTCCCTGTTGAGGGTGGGGTTGTACACAACCAGGGTCACTCTTTCAAACTCGAGTCCACGGATATCTTAGACCGCGAAACACGCTGGTGGGAACGGGGTGTTAAAGAGGCAATATATGAAAGAATGTACAACCCCACCCTCAACATCAACAGTAACAGGAGCTTTCAGACTAATTTGCATCATCTTGTCTTGACTTGTCTGACTTTTGTTCCTTTTCGACTTCCAAAAATTTGTCTTCACTTTATTTGCATATCAATCAAGAGGTTGTGCTTATAAACCTGTTTTCCCCTCTGGTCTCTCAGTCACTGACGAAAGCTAGTGGATACTAGCTGAAACGTCTGACGTTTTCAAAATCATATCCAGTTGCTTGAGTAACTGCTTTTTGGTGCATTATTAGTCTCGGTCGACGATGCAAGATGGTGGCTCAGGTTTTAATTTCCTATAACAATGCTCTAAGTCCTTAGACTAGTTGGTGCTTAGCCTAGGTGCCATCCGATTTGTAATGCCAACCCCGATTTTTTTCAGGGTTGCCATTACAAATCGGATGGCACACAGGCAAGTCGGTGCTAGCTTTTAAGATATAAAAACACCTGAGCACAATCATGTACCGATGTGTGTTTGGTTACCCAGGAACACTTCTGGAGTCTAGACAAGACAGTGAACAAGAAGCCCCTACAGCTGAACATCCAAGTCTGGGACAATGACAAATTCTCCTCTGATGACTGGCTTGGTAAGAAATATCTAATGCTGGTGATTTTAAATTTGGAAAGTCACTTCTCACATTGTCTATATTATACACACCAGGAAATAATCTGTATTTATTTAGATTATTTAGATCTGTATTAATAAGATTCTGTTGTCGCCTTCAGGTGAAGTCACACTAGACTTAAACGAGCTTGTGATGCCAGCCACATCGGCCAAGAAGTGTGGCCTGCACCAGCTGCCAAGTCTGAACCCAGAAGAGGAGTCAGCAGGTGTTCTGGGGTTCCTGGGACTGGGGGAGAGGCCCCAGCCGGTCTGCCTCTTCCGACAGAAGACCAGCCGAGGCTGGTGGCCGGTTTTCCTGGCCGCAGAAGGAACGAGAGAGCTCAGGGTTTGTTACAGAAGTTTGTTTGCCGTTTAGCAACACACTCCTCTTGAATTTGGGAATTAAAATTATTAAAAGTTAAATTATCAGTATTTTCTCCATTTATCGCCTGAATGCTGGATAGCCTTTCTGGCTGTGGGCTTCTTAGGAAACCAGCCTACTGGTATTTTCATTAATAGCATTTCTCCAGGGAGAGGCACATTTGAAATAGCTAAAACATGCTTTATAAGAATTATAGACAGACAAATGACAGGCAAATGAAAGTGGGTTGTTTACTTTTCAACTTACCAGGGCAAGGTAGAGATGACCCTGGAGATCCTGACAGAGGATGAGGCGATGGAGAAAGAAGCTGGGAAGGGGCAAAAAGACCCCAACATGAACCCAACTCTGGAGAAGCCCAAGTTAGTAACAATTATTCTTATTTCCTTTCCAGGTCAATCTGAGGAATATATTCCTCTTTTTAATGATATTTTTGTACAATTAGAAAAAGGAATGCACAAATATCTGGTGGTAAAAACAAGTTGCAAATGTGTAAATGTATCAATGACACAAGCACCATAGTACATGTATTTACCAGTTAATGCGATTACCCTGACAGTGTGAATGCCAGTGTGTGATTCTACAAATATCTTCTCCTATTGATGACCCATTTTGATAATTTTCTGTCTTGCAGGCGTCCCTCCACCTCCTTCCTGTGGTTCACCAGTCCGTTCCGCACCCTCCGTATCATCATTTGGAGGAACTACAAGTGGTACATCATCGGCGGTCTCATCATCCTTCTCCTTGCAGCCATCATCCTGCTCTTCATGTACAACATGCCGGTAAGACTGCCCCTCTATCTCATCCCCTTGTCCTATAGCCCTACTCTTCTTCTCATCCCCTCAAACTGCTGCCTTTTCTCCCCTTTCTGTTCTTCTCCTTCCAACAAACTCCTTTTGCACGTGAACTTGTAATCATAATAACCTGATAGCTAGTGTTTTTTGTCAAAACTAACACAGCTGTCTTGCTTGGTTTTTTTCCAGGGCTACATTGCAAAGAAAATCATCGGTGCTTGAATGAAGAGATGACAGTCAACAGGAACAAAATTGGAATCCACTACATATTCACATTACTCGACAGTGTGTCAAAAACATGCAAAATAGGAACTTCCATTGTTATCAGATAATCATTGAACAAAAGAAATCAATGCTCTACAATATTATTGTATCTTTCTTTGTCATAGTCATCTTTCTACATGCAAACTATCAAGTGTCAACATGTTTTGAAAACGAACAGTATATCATAAATTAAAGTGCAATTCATATGAAACCTATGTGAAATACTTGTATGTATGTATATGAAATCAAAGTAAAGTTAAGATTTAACATTGAATTAAATACTCATGTACACATCTGATGCAATCTTGAACAGGCTGTTGCAAGTCTGGAAAGATAGGAAGCATTTGACATTGTATATTTGTAATACTATGTACATAGTTATAACAATAGTATGTAGGAGACATATTATCATCTAATATGAAAAAGGAGGCATTGTGTTGGGTGTGTCTGTGCTTGTGCACATATTTGTGGTTAATAAGAAAATGGATTGTTATGATATTTGGTATGTGGTTAGATGTTTGGAAGATGAAGGTCAAGGACATGTGGACCACCTGGTGGCTGTCCTTGGTACTGCAGCAGAGCATTTGTGCATCATTGGTTATTAACAAAGTTTAATTCAGTGCAAAGTAACATGATGAAGAATATATCCCAACAATGCAATAAGAATAAATGTGATAATAATAATAATAATAATAAAAACTTTTATGACTGTCAAGCACTACAGTTTTGTTATATACTTCGAAAGTTGTTTTAAGGTGTCAGGAACGGTTCTTTCAAAGAAACTCACAAATTACTTAATACCCCCCCCCCCAACGTACGATGTTTTGTTTTGTGCGTTTTTGGGTAGTTTGTGACATACAGTTGACTGCCTTGAGCTAGCATCACGCCAAGTCAGAAGTATTAATAGCGCTCATCCCTACCGGCCAGGTGTGTGGTTCCCATGGCCTTGGGTATACAGTATAAATTGTCACACACAGAACCAGCCACACGCACAACACAGTCTGGACTCAACTCAACATATGGTAAATATGTGGAAGTTTCTGCTGGTGGTCGCGGCTGTGAATGCCAGTCCATATTCATCACAAGGTTTGCAAAGAATTTGTAGTATATCTTAAACATTATCGGGCATTAAAATTTGATTTTCAGATTCATGAAAAATGAAAAGGACACTTTCGGCAGCAATACGACCGGTGTCCTACCGATCATCGCGTTTCATTTTTTTATCGATCAACCGATATTAACAAGTCAACGAACCCTGCCCAAAGTGACAGGGTAGATTGTCAGTCGAGAAATATGCTCGATTTCAGTGAAATTTGGCGATCTACAGATTCGACCGAAGGTCGTTGACAGTGTGACGCAAGCTTTGCGCACTGCTGCCTTGAAATAAAGATTAAGCGTGTCTTGTTGCAGACTGTTCCAGCAATCCATGCCACCACGGCGGCACCTGCCAAAACTTGGCAAACGGCTACAGGTGTCACTGTCAACATGGATGGACAGGTACCAACTGCCAGTCAGGTAAATGTTTCGTTATTTTCTCATGACCATTTTTATTACTAGTAGCTTTTTGAAATGTGTCACTGGTGATACTTCACCGGTTGACGTTCAAGTTTCATTTTATTCTGATTGCCGTTTTCTACAGACGTGAACGAGTGCGCAACTAACGGAGGGCGGGGACCATGTGAACAAACCTGTATAAACCTGGCCGGTGGTTACCGATGCTCGTGCCATGGGGGTTATCAACTGGCTGCAGACGGCTTTTCGTGCGTTGGTAAGGAGAGATTTCCTAGAGTGAACGACTCATTTATTCTATCCGCTCAGCTATCTAACAATGGAAGGTCAAGTCTGAAGGTGGCCAAGCTTTAGCATGCACCGGAGTGGCCGGTATATGGAGGAATTCAGGAACATTACGCTATTGAATCGGTATACAGCCCCCCCCCCACAGTTCCAATACATTTACCAATACAGTAAACACCAATACAGTTCCGACGCGCGCACTTACTGGAAGCTTTAAATCTCTGATTTCCTTTTCAACGCAATTCACTCAATTCAGATACAGAACATGATTACAGTCACCATGGTTCTTTTTTCTGCAGATGCAGATGAGTGTGCGACTAACGGAGGACGGGGTCCATGTCACCACTTCTGTACAAATGTGCACGGCAGTTACCTCTGCTCCTGCCAGGCGGGGTACCAGCTGGATGCAGACGGCGTCTCTTGCATCGGTAGAAACAACCTAGATGCTGTCCCAGTAACAGTAACTCCTACGTTAAATTTCTAGCTGCAACAAGCATAGCAGAGACAGATTAGGGGTTTATGTTCAGACGTTTACACAATTTTTTTTACACCAAGTAGTGAGTTGTTTCTTAGTTGAGCCTAAGCCAGTTATCTCTCTCTTCTAAGTTCTATAAGATGCGGTAGCCTTAAGACCACATGATCTCATATTGTCGTTTACTGGCAGCTAGAAGAGCTGTTTGGTGATGACAGTACTAGTACTCTTTCCTTACAGAGGCGGAAGAGTGCCTGACTAACGAAGGACCATGTGAACAAACCTGCACGAACCTAGACGGCGCCGTCCACTGCTCCTGTGAGTCAGGATACCAGCTCCATGCAGACGGTGTCTCCTGTACTGGTAGGAACAGCCTTTTGGAATTTAGACCTGCTTGACAGAAATTGCAATCACAACATTATTTCACATTCACGTAACAGCAATTTTCTTTCCAAAGTAGACCTTTAATTTGTCGGAATTTCAATGCGGCAACATTATCGTGTTTTAAAGTTACTCTTCAAACTGTTGGTTTGGGTGAAAAAATATTCCAGTGCAAAAAAGAAACCCCGATAAAGAAGCCTAAAACACGCTAAAATAAACCAAAATCCAAACCTCGGCTTGGAGAGTATATTTTTAAAGTACCCGCAATCCCCTTCTCCAGACGTGGACGAGTGTACGCAGGGACTTCACGACTGTGAGCAACGATGTCTAGACACTTACGGCGGGTTCTCCTGCGGATGTGAAGACGGGTTTTCCCTCGCTGACGACGGCAAATCTTGTTTGGGTAACATTTTTATTAAACATATTTCCAATGCAAATTTGAATGATATTCCGCCAAGATATTCATAAGAAAAACCTGCTAACTCATGAGGTTTTAGCTTGTGGCAACTCTTTGAAGCCAACAATTCCATGCCTTTTATCATTTGCGTCAGACGCTATATTTGTCAGCTACATAACGTACGCTGTTTTGCACCGAACGCACTTAAACGTGCCTTATTTCAGACATTGACGAGTGTGCCAGCAATCCATGCCACCACGGCGGCACCTGCCAGAACCTGGCAAACGGCTACAGGTGTCACTGTCAACATGGATGGACAGGAACCAACTGCCAGTCAGGTAAATGTTCCCTTGTTTTCTCGTTACCATGGGTGCAGATTCGATACAACTGTAGAAGACAACAAGTATTGGACAATTGAGCAGTCCTTATTGACTCGGAATTGTTTCTATTCACAATACTCAGGGGAAAAAGGAGAAATTCGTATTTCGAATAATTAATTTTTTTTAACCATTCAAACTCATTTTGGTCTATTTCTTCTCACGATAATGTAACATGATACTTATTTTATCTACCTAATTTGGTAGAGCTCACGCTCGAGACAAACCTGCCATTTTTCTGTATTTTTTCTACATGAGACATATTTACTTTATTGATATTGTTGTTGTTGTTTACAGTGCAGTCAAACGTTATCACCGGCTGACCGAAGACGACACGCATGAAATCCAGCTGGAAGAGCATGCTGGGGAAAAGCATTTAATAAAGCTTATACCTCGATATTGTTTGTGTATTTTGTATCGTATAAGCTTGACGTGTTATTGTCACTAATTGGAGGTTCCTTAAATAAACAAACAAACAAACAAACGATCAGAACTAATGAAGCTATGGCGGTAACATTAGCCGAAATTCTGCACACTCAAATAATATTCTTCTGGTGTTTGTATTGTTAAAAATATTCGTGAAAAATGTTCCTTTTTTAAATTCGCGCCTCCTTAACCCCGCCACATACTGGTTTACACAGAAATGAAGTCCAACTAAATCCTAATCCTAGCCTTAATCCTCTTCCCTTCTTAGCTTACTGGAGAGTCTGGGGTCGTGAGCTATTATAACAGTACAGTCGTAATGTGTGTGTTTCACAACATGTTTGATGCTTTCGGCCCATCCCTTTGTGGTGCAACTTTATCGACAGGAGGTTGCGACACCTAGCGGAGTTGTAAGGGATGGCATAAAGGAATTACCCGTACCGTGCTCTCTCCGTGTGTCTTTCACGGTTACAGTGACTTGTAATTTGTTTCGCAAGATAAATCAAGAAGCTATGGATGGGTTGCCATGAATCTTATTAATTAGTGGGTGGGTAGGTCTTGTGTGTTCGGAATAAAGTGACATAAGATTGGGCCCCGTAGCGGCTTGTTCTGAAACTGCAGCGCCGTTTGTTTAAAAATCCGTGATTTCATAGTGTTGGGAACGGCGCATGCCTCATTTGGAAGTTAAATGAAGATGACCATCATTCAACATAACATATTCAAATCAGGACCTCTTTTGCATAGTTTACGAGGAAATGTCAAAATAGCTTTCTTTGCTGTCATTGGGTGGAGAATATGATCATCTGATATAATTCATACAAATGACAACTCTATTTGCATAAACAATGAGAAACATTTGCAATTCACCAGTCCTAAGGCTAAGTGGCGAAGTTAGTATGAAGTCGTGGAACTTTTGTTTGTATATTTCAATGTGCCACCTAATGTTAGCTCGATAGCTTTTGTATTAGTTCCGGCCGTTTAACACGTCCCGTTATTTTCCGACGATGTATATAAATTTCCCTGCCCTTTGGTTGTCACGCCATCTTACGGCAGTCAAGTTTTCCTTCAAGTTCGGCAGATTGTGGCAGAAAATCGACACCGAGGCGTGTTAATGTCTCCGTTCCACGGTTGACATTTCAGGAGGGCCGTGCAGTTTCCGCTTCGGCAGATCTGACACGCCTGCCAGGTACAGATAGCGCGCCCACTGCTTCGTGAGCGGTGATCATCCCTGTCATCGTTTTATAGGGCCACAGCAAGTCAATTCTATACCTGACATCTCCCACAGGGTCCAAATCTCATGCGAGAGCGCGAAAAAGACGGCAACAACAAAATTGAATAAATTGGCTGAATTTCCAACATAAAGACTATAGACAAATAAGAAGAATTGAATGCAGAAAACAGCATTACAGCCATCAAGCCTTCTAGATCTATTCCTGTATTCAAGAAGTGCAGAAAGTGACATCGATACTAGTATATATATCAGTGGTAGCCTGGTATACATCTCCGGCTCAAGGGATAACTCACTAGTGCCGCCTCCACAAGTACACATAGCGTTGCCACACGCCACTTTTGTATATTTCTTGTCATATGTCATATTGAACTTCACGAAGGGGAGCAAAATGCCTTTCTTTTTTATTGATGTTAAAACCAATGCGCGAGGATGCCGTCCGCAAAATTGCTTTGCTGTGGCCCAAGCCTTGCTCATGTAGCGTCTAAAATACTGTTGATGCTTCCACAGCCTGGCATGTTCACATCCGTCTCCAACAATAGGCTCGTTATCATGTTTACGGCGCTTTTAGTCGAAGTCACAGCCGCTCAGAATTGCCATTTATCGCAGTGTGTTGAACAAAAACAGACATTCTTCATGCATTTCCCTTGCCGGTTGTTGTACGTGTCAATTATGACAGTTATGTCTTTTAAAGTTATTCATAAATGCCTCAACCTCATACTTTTGTTTAGTGTGAGTGTTGATATGGAATGAGCCGTAATCAGTTGGTTTTGATTTCTGTGTGCGAGGGTCGCATGGTTGCAAGTTCATGCGATCTTCGGCTTACTGAATTCCCTCATATTCACCTCTAATTCCTACTGGCTCTCGGCCAGATTCTTAGACCCCATTTCCTGTGCCTGACCCTTTGACCTGCCATCCTGCCTTCCGATCTTCCTACCCGCGTTCTGTCAACCTACTATGTCTGTGACAAACATACACATAAACCCACAGCCCAGCTGCAGCCACTGAAATCAATACTTCCGTACCTTTGTCATGGACAAATACAAGTTGGCGATAGAAAGTAAGGACTAGGGGGTATGTAGAAAAGCGGGCTCTGCCGGCGGATTCTACTCCTATCTCCTATCGATTGTGAGTGGCGTGATCATTATTAAAGTTACGGTAGTCCCGGCGGGACCTGTTTACAACCATGTATGCTTCTCATTCACGGTTATTGGTCGACCCTCACGGCTAAGGTATTCCTGAAATGACCTACTTTCTTCAGAAGGGAAGAAGATCGAGAGGCCACGACACACCGGGCAGCAGCACACCAGGCAAGACGCGGACGTGGGAGAGAAGGGAAGACATCCAGGGATATCGTCTGCAAGGATTTCTGTAAGGTACCGTGTTATTACTTACCGTCATTGTGATGTTCTCACTCGGTTGTGTGAACATGCATTTGATCAAGAACTCGTTTTATTTGTGGCCTTTTCATTTCTCTAATAATCGTGACATGGTGCGTAACTGAGGGATATTGTACTAGTTGAAGTCGAAAGCGCTGTCTTTCATTTATTTATTTATTTATTTATTTCAACTTTGTCACAAGGACAGGGGGAACAGGCAGATGCCTTTTCCACGTCCCCACGCCCGTCTTTGGACGCTGTCATATCAGAACATGTTATACATGTCGATATCTTGTAGCATAGAACACTTTCTCATTTGTCCTTTCTACAACCTATAACTCCTTTCTTTGTCCTAAAGTAATGGTCATCATTGACGATGCTTGTATCTCGATCATCAGTGGTTGATTGTGGCGAAACGATTTGTTGTTTCGCATAACCGGTGAATCGCATTACGTATACACAATCAGGTTTGTACAAGCTGCGTAAGATCGGACTCCGAGACTGTAAGGTTTGCTTCACTCACACCGGGACGGACCCTTACTGTCTTTTCACTCAATCGGTCTGATGAGGTGTGGCTCTTTCTCAAACACAGGACCGCCAACTTAACGGAGTCTAATTGAAGCTAGGTACTAGAGTACCCATTTTCACCTGAGTTGAGTGAGGAAATAGGTTTAAAGTGCTTCTCCCAGGGGCATTGGGGCCTGCTAGAGATCGAACCCCTAACCAGAAGACCACTTTGCCACCGAGCGATATAGGGAGAAAGACATAGAAATGGAGACGGAGGGAGAGAAAGCTAGAAGACAACGCATAGAGCACAGGGAAGCAGTGAGAGAGCCTTTGCACATTGAGCTGCCATTTAGCAACGCCAGGATGATGACTGGGAGCGGCTGCGGCACGCTTTCAGAGGACCAACCATAAAGCTTCCTTGGTTTACAACTGTCCTCTGATGTTATTTCCCTGGCCCGTAACTTATTTCCAAGTCATGATGGCCAAGTAATCCCTTTAATTCCGAACCTCCGCAACTCATCAATTTGGAAAGGTTCTGTATCAAAGACGCCATCAGATGATACCTGTTCAAGGTTGCCGGGGCTCTCTGGTGACTTCCCTAATTTTCTAAACGAGCTCTCCAAGCGCTAGCGAGAAGTAAGTGTACATTGCCAGGGAGGTGATGATCTGCAACTGTGACAGAAAACGGCACACGAGGCAGAGTGATACATGGCTCATCAGAGCATCAAATGTTGAGATTACATATATCACGATATCATGCTGACATCAGTATGCCCCATGTTTAGCTGTTGGATGGTCAGATACTTAACAAGCACCAAAACATTGCGGCAAGAATTTATTTTGCGACTGTGAACGAGGTGCTGTGTATACGTGGAGTAGCTTATTAGAATAACCTGATATTTTGTAGTTAACGGTACGGCATGCAATTACAGAAACATGATTCTTTATTTGCGAAATGGGACTATTCAAGTGACGTTTGTCACTACCGGTGCATCATTTGCAGCCTCGATCAGCGCGCTCATGAGAACACCGTGAATTTGCCTAATGCGATCTAACACACAGCATACGTGGCCTAATGATCATTAGCAACCCTGCTCAGCTCCTGGATTTTAAAGTCGTGAGTTCGAATTCCCACTGATATCGCTCATCCGGCCTAGGTGTATGCTAGCACTGCGGGAACCTAATTTCCAATTAGATGTCGATGTTTTGTGTAAAATAAACAGAGACAAGCAAACTCTCTGACGCCTTACAATTAGACATCTGTTCCATGGCCATCTTTAATCACATAGGACCGGATATCGTCCATTGCACTTGTTGAAACGTGTAAGGGAACAATACGACCAACGGGAAAAGAGATTTCGTAAATGTACAATTCCACCTGCCCTCGAGGATTCGTCAAAACCGACCTAGCCACGCTTACCTTTTAGGTGCCCTTGGGAGGGAAGAAAATAGGTCGAAGTGGATTGAAGTTCACAAGGTGGAATCTAAACCGCGTAAGAGCACTAATTCTCTACAAACTGATTGCCAGCCGGTCAAATATACAGGTCTTTATGGGCCTGCTTAAGACGCAAAGCTGCCTCTTCTTTTTATTGCGCCATTCACCGCCGACCCGTCTCCAAATTTATTTTTGCTTTCAGCCTATGACGTCCAGGCGTTATCTCCTCTGAAACCCGCGCTTAGCGGCTGTCCGATTCCCGCGCTTTTCGCGGCCCTTCATTGATCCCGCCCACGCCGCGCAGGGAGAATCTCATTCATAAAACACGGCCGACGGTCGACCTGGAGCCCATCAAGGCCCCGCTTTGGATGTACGTCACGATCGGCCGTCAGTAGAAATCTCAGATAGCGAGTTGGGGGGCT